GTTTTTATAACTTATTGCTGCATAACAAACCATGTTAAGACATAGTGGCAACCACAACCATTTTTCAGCTTGCAATGCTACAATTTGGGCAGGGGCTCATTGGGCATGGTTTGTCCCTACTTCATGTGGCTTCAACTGGGGAGGCTCAACTGGGACTGAAAGATCAACTTTCAAGATGGTCGCACTCACATGGCTGACCTGTTGAGGCTGGCTGTCAGCTAGGAGATCAGCTGGAGCTACTGCAGGGAGGCCCTTGGTTATCTTGCATGTATGTGGCCTCACCACCTGACTTCTCACAGGATGGTGGTCTCAGAGTTAATCAGACTTCTCACATGTAGCTCAAGGTCCCCAGGAATGCAAAGGCAGAAGTTGCTAGACCTTCTCAAGGCTTCGGCCCGGAAGGGGAACAAGATTACTTCTGTCCCATGCTATTGGCTACAAGAGGTACAAGCCAGACATACACAAGGGAAGCAACTACAAAAGAGTGTGACTACCCAGAGGTCTACTTCACTGGATGCCACAGACTTCCACAAACCATAGCCACATGGATAAAGCTTAGGTAGGTTATGCTGCGGTAACAAATAACCTCACATTTCAGTGACTTTACACCGCAAAGGGTTACTTTTTTCTCACATACATATCCCACACAGGTTGGTGGGGTGCTCTGCTCCACACAGTCACTCAGGAACCCAGGATGGTGGAGGCCACCATGGTGAGTGGGCACCATCTGGAACATGAGACATCACTTTTGCCACAGCCCTAGAGGACAGAAAGAATGGAGAATTCCACTTGGCCTCAGCCCTAAAGAGACAAATGTTACTGGTGCTAACATTTCATTGTTATCTGGTCGCATGATCTGGTTACATGACCCTGCCTAACCTGCAAGAGGGTGCTGGGAAATGTAGAAGAACACATAGAAAAATGGGTGAGCGTGACTGTCTTGGCCACAATGTGATAAAACTATTGAAAATGAAAAAAGTTTCATCAAATTCAAAAGAGTGTTTGCTTCAAGGAAGAGCAGGAAGGGGTCAAGATAGGAGAGAAACTCACAGGAAGGGGTCAGTGATTTGTAAAGGCACCGAGGCCTAACCTCAGCGTGCAGGCTAAAGATGGCACTTCCATAAATATCCGCTGAGCTCCAGCTGAGGCTGCAAGTTCTCAAGGGTACAAAGATAAATAAATTATCGGCTCATCCTCTCCAGGTTCCCAGCTCAGGGTACGATGTAGTAGGCACGTGAAGCAAGCAGGCCAGCAAAGCACAGTGGACTGGATTGCTCCCCAGGAACTCTAGGAGCAGAGGGAGCCCTGAGAAGGCCTCTCCATGAAGGTCATGTAAGTTGGACCATGAAGGGTCAATAGGAGTTCAAGCAGTGGAGAAAGGAGAGGAGGTTGGCATAGGCTGGTCAGGAATGCTTACTCTAGGAAGAGGGAACCATAGGTGCAAGCCCTTCACTCTTCAGGCAGTCTGTGTTCACTGCATTTCCTCACCACCTTCTAGTCCCTAAATAATTTGAGCATCTCACCCACACCATGCTGTGCCACCTAGAACCCCCTGCAGGACCCTGGCACTCATTGTCACCACTGGCTGTTGGGAATATTGGCTGCTAATGCTTACAGTTGAGTCATTTTAAGGAATCAGCCTCATATAAGGGAGCCCCCCTTCCCAGGGTCACGTGTCCCCCTACTCCAGGAGCAGCCATATCCAAATGACTGGTCAAAGTAGGGGGTATAAAGGCTTCATTCAATTCAGGGAACTCTGCAGGACCACCCTAGCCCCAGAACTCCCTATAGGGTCAGCCGAGGCCTCTCTAGGGCCTCCAGCCTCACAGCCCAACTCCTCTCTCTCTCAGTCCAGTCCTGTTTCCTTTATACCTCCACAGGTGTCGATTGTGAATGTCCGTCCCAAGAAACTTCCTTTGAGCAAATCTCCACTTTAGAGTGTGTTTTCTGGGAAACCTACCAAAGATACCACTAAAGTGTAAGTAATTACTCATTTTCAAGGGATGCCTTCCTTGGAGGTGTTTGAACAGCAATAATAATGACTAATATTTATAGAGTGATTTCGACGTGCCAGGCACCATGCTAAACACTTCTCCTATACGGTCTTACTTAATGAAGAATGGAATTCATGCCAAAGGAATGAATTTCTCATGGTGAAATTTCAGGCTTTGTCAAGGTGAAATTTTCAGCTTAGGGAGGTTTGGCTGGAAGTGTTTTGTAGCACAAATTCTGTCACAGATTTTTCTGTCTCACCGTGTGGTTAGTCCTGATTTTTGTACTGGCTGAGTAAAGTCCCCAGTGGGTTAGGGTTGGGGCTCCCAATCTTATTCTTCCTTTAAAAAAAAAAAAAAAGCAGGGCTTCTTCTGCTTAGTAATGTAATAATGTAATATGTCTGTTCTGCCTCTTCTCTGGGGTCTCACTTCTTGGGAGCCGCCGTGAAGGTGAATTCCTCTGAAAGCTGACTTGGGACTCCCCGGGCCTTTTCTGAGAAATGGTGACGTTGTTCCCAGTACTTCCTCTCCCTTCCTGGGCAGCTCCTACAGCCACCATTGAGTCCTCCTCACATCCTCCTTTTCCAGGCTAGGGCTTTCGACCTTTCCTTTCTGTCATCACCTCCCTCCTGGGTGGGGGCTGATCTGGACCCTCTTGTCACCCAGGCCAACCCTTGTCACCCATCCCTAAGCTGCCTGCTCACTGGGGAGCATGTCCAGGCAGCAGGCAGTGGCTCTGACGGGGCCCTCTGGCCCTCAGGAACATGTCTCAACATGTTGAGCCCTGGCATAGAAGAGGCTGCTGGCTGTTTTGTCCTGGCCGCTGCCTGCTTTAGAGGGAAAAGGGGGTAGCAGGAGACAGGAGACCCCCACACACCCCAGGGAGAACTCGACCTGAGTTTCTCTGAACAGAATATGTGGTTTGCAGCATATCCCTTGGCATTAACCTAGGATCTGTCTGTCTGTCTGTCTGTCTGTCTGTCTCTCTCTCTCCCTCTCTCGTCAGATGTCCTGTGTGACTTCTAACAACCTGTTCCTCTGCTGTCTTCAGGGCAGAATTCCTCCTATGAGGACATGCTTGGCTATACCTTCAAGTGTATGGTTCAGAACACTTTGGTGCTTTATAAATATTTGTTGAATTCTGTGGTGGTGGTGGTGGTGGTGGTGATGGTGGTGGTGGTGGTGGTGAGCTGAAAGTTATACAAAAAAACCGAAAAACCCCACCTCACTTCCCAACAGAAACAACAAAAAGAATTATTTCACTGTGAAGCTCAGTGCCACAAAACTTTAAGTAATTCAATACAAGCCTTCATTAAATCCCCCCCCCCAAAGTAAACAGCCAGACAATGTCAAGTCTATTTGAAGTGCCTGAAAGCTGAGGGGATTCAAGGCAGTTGGAGGATGTGCCTGTCTTCAGCTGGACATTTGACAACCCATCCTTTAGGTGGTGCGGGTATGCGTGTGTTAGGGGGGCAAGGGGAGGGTGGAGAAAGGAGCTGGGGAGGAGGGGGCTGGTCCTGGGGTCTTGGCCTTTTTGAGGCTCCCCTGAGGTCCAGCTATAACCCTGGCCTAGCTCCAATATCAGGCAGGCAAGGAAGGGGGTCCGGGGCTGTGCCCTCCCACCCCTCCCCGTGCTCCAGTCCTGTCGGTAGAGGAGAAGGAGGCTTGTCCTCCTGAGGTCAGCTGTGTTAGAGGAAGAAGTCTAGGCATGCCCGGGCAGAGATTTCCAGACAGTGAACAGTCCTAGATGTTAGTAACTACAGTTGCTCCAAGCCTGGATTCTATTTTTTTAGTAGGATTTCTGTTCAGATTAACACTGTTCTCTGCAATTTTTGAAAAGCAGAAACTGCAAATGTATTAAGTGAAGGAAGGGGGCACAGGTGGGGTGCCAGGGGGGCTAGGGTATGGAGGTTGGTGGAAGCATGTGGGTGCCTCCCTTGCTTCTGTATCTGTCAGCAGCACCAGGGACATTTCTAGAATTGTTCATCAATATCACCTCAGTAAGCTGCCTAAAAACGAGAAGTCCTAGGTGTTTCCCTCATTCTAGAGCTTCTGAAATAGAGAGGACAACAAGCAGAGAGCTCTGGTTGGGAGGCAAAACACCGATGTTCCAACCATGGCCGTTTATTTGCTGTGTGATCTGAGTCAGGTGTCACTGAACTCTGAGCCTCAGTTTCCCCAGCAGTGTATGTGGGCTGTGTGGGGAACATCCAGGAGAGAACTCATTCCAACTCCTTCCCCCCTTCTTAGCTATCACTGCTGCAATCACAGAGGTTCCTTCTGTTGAGGGGAGAGAGGTGAAATGGAGCGTGAGGAGGAGGGTGCCAGGAGATTTGTTCAATGCCCGATTTCCCCCGTTTCCCCTAGAGTCCAGGTTGGCCCTTTCTGAGAAGTATGCCCAATTCCTTCCTTCCCTGAGGCATTGCCAAGCAACAACTTTGCATCCGTTTAGTTTTGCGAGCCTCAGTTTCCTCATCTGTGAAATAAAGGGAATTGAATCCGATTCAGGCCTCTCGATGAGGTTTGTTGGGATGTCTAGATGCCCCAGGTGCTTGGGGAGAGGTGGTCTAGTGAGGCATCTGTGGGAATAGTGGTGGTATGGGGGGGCTTCTCTGGGAATTGCAAAGTTAGGCACATCATTTTGATTATTTATGGATTTTTATTTACTATTAATGTCACCCCTTGTGATCTTTCCAGGGCCTGAAAGGGGGCTCATTCTAACAGTGCCACTGTCTCCTGGGTTTTGCCAACTCACTCCCCAACTAAAAAAAGCCTACATTTGTGGTTCAGTTCTTGGGAAAAATGGTCAAGCGCACAAACCCGGGCGCGGGATGCAGGGAGAAGGGAAGCGTCCCTCTGCACCACGCAAGCTTGGCATTTGAGCTGGGAGGATAGCGCGCTGCCGAGCTTGGAGGAGGAGCCGGTCCCGCCCAGTTTTCACAAGGCGGAGCTGCCGGCTACGCCCCGCCTCTGAATACAGGCCTTATTTAAGGACTGCGGCGGGCTGCACTAGCTAGCAGAGGTTTGAGCAACTGCTGGAGTCGGTGGCTTGGAGTTCTGGAGCCCCGCGCGGATTCCCCAAGACAGACTTTCTGAGGTGAGGGGAGGGAGCCGTGATCAGCAAGGGCAGACCCCGGGCGGGCAGTTGGGAGCTGAGCTGAGCGTGTCCGCATTTGTGTTCATGCATGCCCGTAAGTGTTTGACCGCGGGGATGCGTGTGTCCGCGAGGGTGTGTGCGCGCGCGCTGTGTCCACAGGTGAATGACGTGCGTGGGTCTCGGTTTTGCTCCCATGGGTGTGTCTGGAAGTGCGCTTGTCCGAGACTCCGGGCGAGGAGAGGTCTAAGAGTACGAGGTATCCGCTGCCGCGCTCCTCTCCCGTTAAAACTCGGCTGGGATGAGGGAAGGCGTGGACCGGGCGCGTACTGCTCCCGGCTTGGGATTGAAGCCCCTGAACGCCGAGGTGTCGGGCAGGGGCGGGAACACCGAGCCCAGCAGGTTCATCTGGGATCCGCTCCCCGGCGGCTCTCGGATCCAATCCGTACCGCCCCCGCCCAGACCCCCGAGGTCTGGGTCCCCGACGCGGTCGTGTCCGCCAATCGCCTGGGCTCTGAGGTCAGCGCGGGCTGTGTCCCCAGCTCTTGGGAACAAGTCTAAACACGTCCCTTAGGGCCAACGAGGTGACTCACAGTGACAAGGAGACCCTGGGGTATGGGCCGGGTGAGGTCAGAACCCCGCCCGGGCTGGGGGCAGTGGCACCCCAGAAGTCCCCTTCTCTGCCTTTCCGCGGTCTCTGTCCCACCCCACCAACACAGTGACCTATTTGGCTGGCACAAAGTGTTCCCAAGGAAGCCGGGACACTGGGAGGTCCAGGGCCGGGTGTCCGGTCCCCGCCCCGCGACGCGTCCTCCGGAACCTGGAGCCGCGGCCCCGCGCTGGGTGGGCTCACGCCAGCCTGTCAAGTCAGGTCAGGAAGCGCAGGACTCCCACCCACCTCTCCACCACCGCAGCCGGGAGACCCTGGCCCAGCCAGCCCTAGGGCTGGGCCGCCGGACTGTGGGGCGGGAGCGGAGCCCTGGACTGCGGAGCGACTGGGCGTGAGGACCACGCCAGGGTGGTAGGCGGGGTGGGGTCGCAACTTGGAGGGGTGAGGCTTCGGGGGCGCAACGCTGCTCACGGCCTCTGTCATCTGCGTCCAGGGTCCTGGGGCGCCCCAGACCTAGTCCAGAATTCCCTTTCCGAGGGCGACAGGCTGAGCGGAGCAGGAGGGCGAGTCGCCCTTCGGGTGTCGCCGCCCAGCTGGGGCCACAGTGCGTCCGCCCTGTCCCGGGCCCTTGGGGCACACTTGTGCCGTCCTCTTGCAGAAAAAAATCTTGGAACTGGGTTTGGCACTTTAGGACGCCCAGGCACTTTAGGGCGTCCCTCCCTCTTTTTCTCCCTCCACGTCGCGTTTCGGGGAGGACTTTCGATAGCTTTTGTTTTCTTTGCTCCCGTCTATTTTTATTTTCCAAAGATCTGACTCATCTGTTCTTTGGGCGTGGAGATAAGGTGGAGGGACCAGATAGATCACTGCCCTTCTGTGCATGCGTGCGTGCATGTGTGTGCGTGTGTGTGTGTGTGTGTGCGCGCGCGCGCGTGTGTGTGTGTGTGCGCGTGTGTGACAGAGACGGCGGGAGGACGCGCGATTTCCCAACAGTGGCGGGGGTTTCGGACGGCCTGGCTGGGTCAGCGTGACGTGTTTGCGGCCCCCGGTGCCCCTCCCGCTCCCCCCTCCCCGGCTGAGGGTGACGCGCAGCCAGAGTGGAAGAGAAGTTTTGGCGGGCGGGGAGCAATTTGCAGGAAACTGACTCATCACAACTCCCTGCCTCTGTCCAAGCCTCTGCCCACGCACCGCCCATCCGCGTGTGATTTCCTGGACACCAGCTCCCCCTCCCGACTCCGGAGCGAATAGCAAACACGCCTTCCCGCGGAATGCAGATTCACCCGCCTTCCTTCCCGCTGCTACTCCTGGGCTGGTCCCAAGTTGTTCCCGCCGCCCCCCACCCCTACTCCCCAAAAGAGTACCTCATTTGTTCAACACTGTTTACTGAGTGCTTACTGTTTACTTGGGAATTAAAATTGGTTGAAGTCTAAAGCACGAAGGCCAACGAAGAAAGCTATTTTCAGTTACTTGTTTGTAAAACAAGGGTTTGTGTTTGTGAATTTCCTCTGAGCTGAGAGTTATGATAATGGGCAGGTTATGAGAGTCATAAGGGAAGAGGTGGTAGAAGGAGAGAGGGTCCCTGCCTGCATTCTGGTCCCATCTCCAGCTCCTAGAAGACAAGCAATATCCAGCTTCCTGCTCAAGTCCTAGGTGAGCTTCTCCTTGTGCCAACAAGGCCCTGGGACCCAGACTGTCCATTTCAGCATCCTGTGTATCCTCTCTTGACTAGCATCTCAACTTGCTTAAATCCCCTTCAGTTTGAATTAAGTTGTCCTGGGGAGGGAGGGGCCTATCAATCTACATTTGAAAAAGCTCTGCAAGTGATTGTGATGGGCCTCTCTGTTTAAGAAACCTCAGAATTAGAGAAGTTAGGTTCAACACCAGAGCACAGCCCAGAGCCAAATCCTAGGCCTGGGTTCAAATCCTAGATGTGCTACTTGTGAGCTGTGTGACCTTTGGAAAGTTACTTAACTTGTCTGAGCCTTGGATACCTCTTCTGTACAAAAGAGCTAATACACCCACTTTTTAGGAAAATTGGTATTTATAAACTTCTTCTTAGAGCAGCCCTTGGCACATAAAAATATATAAATTAATCCCAATCTTTGCCCTGAAAAGTGTGGGCAAAGGTTATTTGAGGGCTCTGCTCTGTGTAACCCCTCTATGAGGCAGTGACCCTTGACCTTTTTATCTGTGTGGTTTGGGGGCAAGTATGGATCTCTTGGAACTCCTGCCCTTTAAACTTGGTTTGAAGTCATTTAGTGCCTCCCTCCCCTGTCAGCTGAGATGTGGGCTGCAAGCACTGTGAGAAGTGGAGTGGGGAGCAGTAGGTGTGGCATGGGTCCAGGGCTTCCTGCCCCAGGAGGTCCCTCAGCAGAGCTTTCATCCTCAGAGCCTGCAAACCAGGACTTGTCCCCAGGAAAACCCAGTCCCTGCCAAGGTCATGCAGCCGCTCAGCTCTGGAGTCAGGCCAGAGCAGAGCAGGTGGGTGCCAGTACTCCCTCATGGGCAGACTCACCACTTGGCTTTCCTCCGAGGTGGGAGGAGAGGAACCAGGTAGACCCGCCACCTTTAATTTTCTTTGCCTGCAAAACGGGTTCCTTGGATGCAGGCAAGCAACATGGGGCAGGGGCTTCAAGACTGTCTAGACTTCAGATCACCCGATAGGCCTGGCAGGATGTGGCTCAGCCTGGGAGAAATCATCACTCTGCCCTGCCCAGCTCTTCCTCAGCCCCAGGCCGCCTGCCTGATGACATCCTTGGGAAAGGCCCTCAGCCTACAGCACCTGTTAGCTGCTGTCTGAAGGAGGTGGTGGCCTGCGGGGAGGCTCAGCCAGAACTGAAGGCAGAGAGAAATAATAATACTTCCGTTTTCCAAGCACGTCTACATACTAGGTGCTGCTCTAAGCATGTTACCTACATTAACTCCGTTAATCCTCGTATCTGTCCTCTGAGACATTCATTATTATTGCCTCCGTTTTACAGATGAGGACAGTAGAGCCCAGAGAAGTTAAGCCACTTGTCCAAGGTCAACCAGCAGAGCCTGGATTCCAGAAACTGAGGCCCAGAGACATTAAGTGACTTTTTAAAATTTAGATAGTAAGCAGCAAAGGTAGGCCTAGATCCTAGGTGGGTTTTTTTTACCCCAACATCCAGGGTATTTTTAAGTGTTGGAGCGGGGTTACCCCATATGGGCACCTGGATAAGGGGACTCAGGAGACTGGAGGAGCTGTCAGCTTGTCCATTTATTTGGGAACTGACCTCCTGGCCAGGGCTGAGGCTGGGGAACTTTTGGACCTGCAATTCACAGGTATTTGGGGCATTCACACCCATGATGGACATCTCAGGGCGGAAAGTAAATTGATTTTAGCTGATAACACCTGGTGGTAAACAGGCCCCTGAGCCCTGCTATTGCAATAAACTGGCCTTTGTTGACATAAGCTTGCCCTTCAGCTGCCTGCTCTCCCGGTCACCCTGGGGTGCCAGGCTGACTGAGCTCTGCCCCTACCCGTCTCTGTTGGTGGGAGGTTGGGGAGGCCTGTGGGAAGGAGGTGGTAGAAAATCAGCCGGAAGGAGCCAGAGACACCCTCTCACCCCCTGTTCTAATAGGAAGAGCTCACCTGAGCAAAGCACAGCCTGGTACGGGAGGGTCTATTTTCCCCAGTAACCGGGGCCTCACTGTCTCTCAGCTGCAGGCACCATGTCGGAGCCGTCCCGGGACGCCCATCCGATCCCCCGTGGCAGCAAGGCCTGCCGCCGCCTCTTCGGCCCAGTGGACAGTGAGCAGCTGAGCCGAGACTGCGATGCATTAATGGCCAGCTGTGTCCAGGAGGCCTGCGAGCGATGGAACTTCGACTTTGTCACTGAGACACCTCTGAAGGGCGACTTTGCCTGGGAGCGTGTGTGGGGCCTGGGTCTGCCCAAGCTCTACCTGAGCTCAGGGTCCCGGGGGTCCCGGGACGACCTGGGAGGAGGCAAGCGGCCCAGCAGCTCGCCTGCTCTGCTGCAGGGGACAGCTCAGGAGGACCACGTGGACCTGTCACTGTCATGCGCCCTGGTACCTCGCTCCCCTGAACGGCCTGAGGAGTCTCCAGGTGGGCCTAGCACCTCTCAGGGCCGAAAACGGCGGCAGACCAGCATGACAGGTAAGGAAAAATAGGGAATGACAGTGACACTACAAGGGACCAAGACTCAGAATTCATGGTGCAAGTGCTGACCTGTCTGGTCTATCTTGCTGATTATGAGGGAAAAACACGCCCAGAGAGGGGCAGTGACTTGCCTGAGGTCACACAGCAACTTTGCAGCCAAGACCAACTAGCTAACATTTATTGGGAACATTTATTAAGTGCCAGGCCCTTCACTAAATTTCTAAGGTGGGTTTCATTTAGTCCTTATAGTAATTTTATACCATATGACATTCTTGCCACCCTTGTATAGGCAAGGAAATCAAGTTCAGAGCGGTAGAGTGATTTTCCTAAGGTCGCACAGTGAATTTGCAATTGAGAGAAAGCTAATGATAATAATTTTCTGGCTGCCCTATCCAAACTTAACTCCCTTCCCCCATCACACACACATACTTTCCATCCCTCTGCCCTGCCTATTTTGTTTGCTTTGGTACTTTTCACTATCAACAGCCACTTCCTTATCTTGATATTGTCTATCTCCCCCGCTAGGATACTATCTCCACAGAAAGGGATCTGTACCTCTCTTGTTCATTGTGGAATCCCTAGCACCTAGAAGAGTGTTGGGCACATAGTAGGTGCTTCATTAATAATGAATGAGTGATGCTGACATTTAAGCACTTAATAGGCCAGGCCCCAGACCAGAACCTTTATAGAGAGCATTTCATTTCATCCTTAGAGCACCATACCAGCGTTATCCTCATTTTACAGGTGAGGAAACGGAGGCTCAGAGAGAAGCAGCCAAAAATCCCACAGCAAATTTGCAGCTGGGTCAGAACTAACAATAAGGATAATAATAATAATAGCTAATGTTTATATGGTCCAGGCATTGTGCAGAACCCTTTTCATAGGCCATCTAATGGTATCCTTAGAGCAGTGCTGTTAGGTAGAACTCGACAGTGATGCAAATATCCAGTGGCTAATGTGACTGAGGAAGTGAATTTTTCCTGTTATTTGATTTTCACTAGTTTAAATAGCCACATAGGACCAGTGGCTACTGTGTCTGGCAGCTTGGCTTAGAGCAGGTCCAGAGATGTAGGTCTTGCATTATCAGTCACATCTGTGAAGGGTGATGGGAGGCTCTGTAAACACCCTGGGAGATGGAGTGGAAGTTGCCAGAGCTCTTCCCTGTACTTGGCAATGTGTCTCTTTGGCCCTAGAGAGGGTCCCTGGCCCCTCTGCAGTTTGCCTTGGTTGGGTAGCTCTGTTGTGTCCTCTTCCTCTTGGCCTGGCTGACTTCTGTTCTCTCTCCTCAGATTTCTATCACTCCAAACGCCGGCTGGTCTTCTCCAAGAGGAGGCCCTAACCTGCTGCCCACTGGAAGCCCCACGCTGTTGGAAACAGCCCGTCCCTTCCGCCTGCTGCAGGCCCCTTCTCCGTCTTTTGCCTTAGTCCTTCAGTTTGTGTGTCTTAATTATTATGTGTGTTTTAATTTAAACTCCCCCTCATGTACATAACCTGCTTACCTCCATCCCCTGGCATTAGAAATATTTAAAGAAAACAGACAGCAAAATGATAGGCGTATTAGACTGCCAGGTATTTTTATTCAAGCTATTATTTAAAATCTCCTCATCCTATGCTCGCTGTCCCTCTCTCCCGGAGTTGAGGTGGGGCTGGCAAGACCCTCACCTGCTAGATGGTGCTTTCTGGAGGGGCCTGGCTCCCTCTGTTCACTGTCTCAGAGACAGTATGAAATTCTGCCACTTTCCTACATTCTCAGACCTTAATTCCCTATAATTTGAGAAGTAAAGAAATAGCACTTTGAAGGGGGCCCAACAGAGTGGGGATTTCATCCAAACTTTGGAGTCCCCTCGCCTCCTCTAAGGTTGGGCAGGGTGACCTTGAAGTAGGCACAGCCTGGAGCAGGGCTGGGGACTGGCACCTTCCTGGCCCTCGATACTCCACTCTGCCCTGTGAAGGTATGGGGAAGGTAGGGTCCCGTAGCAAATCACCCAGCCTCCCCTCATGCCCCTCTGCTGCCCACAGGGGAGCCAGCCATAGTGTTTGGCCTCCACCCTGTTGGCGTCCCTGGGTTGTTTCTAGGAGCCTCAGTTGCCCCTCTTTCATAGCTGGGCGCTCAAGTTCCCCTCTGGTCCTCCCCCCCCACCCCATGTCCTTTCTCTGTAGTCCCTTCTCAGCCCTGAGTGGCAGCTCTGGGGTGCCCGTCCCCCCAACTCAGTGGACTGGAAGGGGAAGGGGCACACTAGAAGTAGGGTTCCCTAGTTCTACCTCAGGCAGCTTGAGCAGCGACCGCCCCCTCCTCTCAGCTCTCGGGGTAGGGGCCCTGAGTGGTCGGGCAGGCCTCCCTAAGTAGGGATCTCTGCATTAGGAGTGTGTGGGTAGGGGGGAAATGGCTTTGTCTAGGAGGGAGAGTGTGACACCAGCCCCTGGAACTCATCCAAGGACCTTCCCCATCGACCCCACCCCTCCCCCATTTCGTTGCACTTTGAATAGCAGCTGAACAAGGAGTCAGGTGTTTTAAGATGGCGGGAGTAGAGGCTGTGGACCAGGCACGCCAATGGGCTCATACAGGCCTGGGAGCTGTGAGTTGTCTTTACTGGCACTCAACACTGAGCCCCTAGTGGCACTGAAGCACTTAGTGGGTCTGACCCCAACCACCTGCCAGCTCTTGTAACATCCTGGCTTGGGCTGTTTCCTCCTGGCTCCTCATGTGTCCTGGTTCTCTTGTCTTCACTTAGACTGTACACCTCTCAAGGGCAGGGACCACGTCCTATACTGCTCTGTGTCCTTACAGCCCCTCCCACAGTGCTGGGTATACAGCAGGTGCTCAATAAATATTTCTTGGTGACTTGTGACTATCTTGTCTTTTTTTTTTTTTTTAACCTTGTCGTTTTTAAGAACAAGTAGGTGGAGGTTTTTTTTTATTGTTTTTATAATTTAAAAAATTAAGCAGTTCAATTTAAAATACAGAAAGCTTAGCAAACAGAAGGACCATGGGGCAAAAAAAAAAGGTAGACACAACAAAATAAAAACAAGAAATCATCACACCTCTGCAGATTGCCACTGTCAATGTTTTAGTTTGTCTTGTGGTCTTTTTTAGTAAAGAACATATTGTAGTTTGACATCATTACTCATCAGGGGAATGCAAATGAAAACCACAGTGAGATACCACTATACAACTACCAGAATGACTAACATGAAAAAGACTGACACTGCAAAGTGTGACAAGAATATGCAGCAACTGGGACTCTTTTATACCTTGCTGGTGGAAGTAGAAAATATTTCAACTACTGTGAAAAACTGGCATTATCGTCTAACGATGTCTCCCCTCATTCATACCTCACGACCCAGCAATTCCTAGTCCTACATTTGTTCTCAAGAGACATGAGTCCAGATTTCCACCAAAAGACACGTTCATAGCAGCATGATTCTTAAACTGGAAACAACCTTGTCCATAACAGACAAGTAGATACGTCAATTATGTATATTTATATAGTGGAGTACTAGACAACATTTATAAAGAACAAAGCACTGTTACAGGCATGTTCAGATTATCTGTTTATAATTAACCACCCCAAGACTTAGTGGCTTAAAACAATAATCATTTATTTGCTCTGGAGTCTGCAATTTGGTCAAGAGCTACTTCTCAAATGTTGAACTATTCTCTGCTGTACAGGGCACGGCTTTGCCCCAGAAACCTACAGGTCCGAGATGAAGCTCTCCCACTGGGGCTTTCCAGAGACTTCACACCGTTTCCTTATTTCCCATGCATGTTTCTAGCACCATGGGATATCCTGGGTCGTACTTCCCAAGTGCTTGTCCCATAGCATCAACCCATTGCAGAGCCCTCTTTCACTCTTGGACTCCACTCAAATATGGCAGCTTCCCAAGTCATCCAATAAATGTGCTCGAGCATTAGTACATCGCCTCCCAAATCCAAACAGGCCCACCCGGTGCTATGCCCCTTTTAGTGGTAGAATGTCCACAGTATATGTGTAGTAACTTGTCTTTTTTTATAGGAAGAATGTCCCAGCGTGCCCCAGTTCACTGTCCACTTAAAACTTAACTACTGTAACAGGTCCCTTTCCTGATGTGGCTTCAAAAGAATGCGTTGGCCGTAGTATCAGCTTCTTATAGTGAGAGACTGTGGAGACTATTCTAGTAAAAAAACCGTATGTGATATATTGGCTGCAATTAGGGCTACCACGTGGGTAACCATCAATCACCATGCATCATTTGGTTGCTACGGGAACAGCATGGGGTAGATAAAATAGGGATATGATGGGGCCACACTGAATCCTTTGAGAGTAGGACTAATCTCTGCAATTCCTTCCACCTGGGATGTGTGGGATTGCTTCTGATTTACTATCGACTAGTAGGATAATTTTAGAGACTTCTACTTGGTTCTTCTTTCTGTAATGGCTCTTATTTCATAGATTAGGGAACCAGGGTGAGGGTTCTGCCAGCTGCTAGGTGTATCCATTCCAATTTGCACTCAGGGGCTAGAAAATAACCACAGAGTGGGTCCACACATCCATTGGACTCTGAGAGGAACCTGGGCAGCATTCCATATGTCTCCCTACTCTAAAAGGTGGGTATAGTGGTATTTTGGGTCATCCGGAACCAGTGTAAGCTCAGGCTCAATCCAATAGACCTCCAAAGATCTGGTTATTCCCTTTCCACACGGTACAGCTATTCTGGTAAATAGCCAGAGGGCACCGTGCGGGGAAGAACTGAGGAGCTATTTATTTTATATACTTACAGGGGCATTAAGGGTCTTTCTCGTCATTCAGCGGGTCTGGGTCTGAGAACTGGCTCACACCTGGAAACTGGGTGAGAGGCTGCCACTTTCTATCACAGTAGCTGGCACCAGCCAGCCTTGATCTGTTGTGGTTAAGTCAAGCAATTTCCTCATTAAATGCTCCTCTCTCTTACCCCTGGGGACAACATTGCCATGGGGCCCTGTAGATCAAGCACCTCTGGTTTACCACTCAGACCTTGTGCCCACCTTACCTCTGATGATTCAGTGGCGCCATGTGGCCTCTGTTCATCCAGAATCTCAGTGTCTCCATTGACAGTGCCCATGACATTTCATGGCAGCAGCATCTCCTCAGCCAGCACTGAGGTCCTCTCACTAGTACATCCTCATTGCTTCGAGGAGGGGGGGTCTCCTGGGGAAGACAGTAAACTGGTGGGTTCTCATGCAGTAAGTCCATTCTATGTCGTCCACCTCTCTGAACCTTCTAAGCCCTCCCTAGTACTCTTCCAAGGCAGTTTCAGCATTGTGCCCTCATGGACTGCAGGCCATGACTGTGCTTAAGCTTTTAGGACCAACTCAACAGGGTGTTAGGACCACCTCCAGGGGGCATTGCCAGGATGTTCATTCCTGAATCAAGAGAGGGAGACCTCCATAAAAACTCTTTATTCAGACGGCCGGGTGACTCAGTTGGTTAGAGCGCGTGCTCTTAACAACAAAGTTGCCTGTTTGATTCCTGCATGGGATGGTGGGCTGCGTTCCCTGCAATCAGATTTGAAATGGTGACTGAAACGGCGACTGAAATGGCGACTGGACTGGGAGCTGAGCTGCGCCCTCCACAACTAAGATTGAAGGACAATAACTTGACTTGGAGCTGATGGTTCCTGGGGAAAACACACTGTTCCCCAATACAGCTGAAAGGAAGGAAGGAAAAGAGGGGGGAGAGAGAGAGAGAGAGAGAGAGAGAGAGAGAGAGAGCATTTCTTTTAAAAACAAACAAACAAAAACCAAAAAACACAAAACTCTTTATCCAGTCCTGTCTTTCTCCTCTCCCCAGCCCCAGTCCCACACCCTCGAGATCTCCCATATGTGTTTCGCTGTTCCTACCAATACGTATCAGCCAGACTTATAGGTTTTTTTGTAAGTTATTTCCTTCAGTAGCAGGGATGGTACTTTCCTGCTTGGGCAATGCTGAGACCTGACCCTAATTATTGTTCCACAGAAAGGGCAGGCAAACCCCGGTTCACAGGGCCAGCTGTCTGTTTATACATAAAGTTTTATTGGCAGGCAGACACACCCATTCGCTCACCTATTTTCTATGGCTGTTTTTACATTATTATTGTAAATAATACAAAAGCAGAATCGAGTCGTTGCAACAGAGGCCACACGGCCCACAAGCCTGAAATATTTCTTCTCTTGTCCTTGAAGAAAATGTTTGCTGACTGTGGTCAGGAGGCATGAGAGGAGGTGGGACAGAGCTTAAGAAAGAGAAGCATCACCTTGGGAGGCCCAGGTGAGCTCTTTGTGTGGGCTTCAGATAATGGGAGAAAACGCTGCTCTAGCAAGGGAGAGGGCACTTCTTCAAGCCTGGAAGGCTCAGGGAAAGCTGGGCCTCCATCCAAATGTCTCCATTCCAGGCCTCGGAGCCCTGCCCTTTCCCTGATGGCTGGAGCTGTGCCTTCAGGCTCTCTTGTAGCTCTACCATCTTTAGTACCAAATCCTGGGGCTGCTTATCAGCACAGTCTGCCTTTGGGCCACACGAGATGGGGGCCATTTAGAAGGCTCTTGTGGATTTTGCCTGTCTCCCACATCACGCCCTGGGTTGAGCCTGTCATTCTCCTTCTTCAAGGCTTCTAGGGCAGTTAACCAAAGCCAGCCAGCTCCACGTCCTCATAAGCAGCATTGCCCATGGCTTTGAAGGGCTCCACCTGTTGCCTAAGTCAGTGTTGCCCTGGAATCCCACCCGCACCTCACCCCAATCCGCCTCACACAGCTGAGTCTCGGTTGTCACGATGCCGCAGCCTACCGGGAGATATCGCCACCCTACTAACCACTGGCAGCCAGGTCCCTATTGTTATCTCACTGGCGAGGCATCCATTTTCAGGAGCCCATCTGCCATTTTTTCCCCCTGAAAAGCAACCTGAGACAAGGACTTGTGTGTAGATGGTTTACTTGGGGAAGAGGGGGAGGGGCGGCGATCCCTGGAAGCACAAGTTAGGGAGTGAAGAATGTGAGGAAGAAAAGGAAAAAGCCACTAATGGTGTTGGTGAGCAAGTTCTGCTGTGTGTAACTGGGACTTAACCTCGCTCAGGTGTGAGGAGACCATGCAGAATGTGGCCTAGGACTGTCCCTCTGGGGTACTTACCTGGGTACCTCTGGGGTACTTAACTACTGACACTTTCCTTCGATGACTGAGGGCTGCAACCAGGCGCAAGTTCAGGTTACTTCTCCCAGGTGAA